AACAATAGACGCCTCTAAATCCATTTCACAATATAACAAGCAACAAAGGCCTCCTCTTAGCTCATTACACAATATAATAAGCAACAATGACCTCCTCTAGAACCGTTATTCATTATAAGAGGCAACAATTGTCGTCCCCAACGCCGTTATACAAAATATAACAAGCATCAATGGTCTACACAATAATCTGCCCCAATCTAAGGAAGTATATCGCAGTCGTTCTTATTAAAATAAAATGGCACTTGAGCTTTCGGCATTTAATTTTAAACTTCAATTGACGGAAGGAAAAATAATATTTAGAACTACAGAAATTTAATAAGCGTTAAGAATGGAAAGTGCCTATAAATTATGTATCGATTGAAGCCCCTTCCTTCTATTATTTCTCTCTCTCTCTGCCACCCAAATCTTTAATTTATTTAAAATAATCAATGGCCGGCCACACCAAGAATTACATCCCCAATTTAAGAGCGTTTAAGGGGAGAAAATTTAAAGTGGTTTCTTTTGAAATTAAATCGATTAGAGCGTCGTCTGTTTTTTATTTATTATTTCCCGCCCATTCTTAGGCCTCGTTTGAAATATTGCTACAACGATGTACTAGAATCGTTCGGCTGTTTAGTAAAACGGAGGTAGTCGAGTCGGCCTATCACAGGGCTAGTATGGACACATGACAAGCTTGTTTATCACGCTCTTTTTACTTTCTAGCTCTTTTACTCTTTGATTACCTTCTAAAAGTTGTCAATAGTTTTATGTAAAAATAAAAAACTTTGTTTCAATATACCAAATCCATATAAAAATACAATAGACTGATACCATGTGATTTTACCGAGTTTTAAATATATTATTGCAGATTAAATAAATTGCTTTTTAGTGAGGTATTAATATCAGATAATATGGTTTAGAAGAAGAGGTATGGAAACTGAGCATGTTTATGAAGGAAACATACACTCATGGACAAGGAAGTTATACCTATTAGCATGTATATCGGTATTCAGACAATAACTCTGATACACAATACATTTGATACACAGTGAGTGACCTTTATTGAAGACACACGAGATAACCAAGTCTGATCAAAATTGCCTGTCTCCTTCATAAAAAAAAATAATTGACGACAAGCGATATCAAAGACTTTGTACTAAAGTTTTGTCCAATTACCATGAATATAGGATGATCAAATATCAGTTGATGTTCGTAATCATAAAGACTATATATATTTAATCTTTGAATGAATAAGATACTTTCTCTCCTGTTATGCATGCTTCGTTTAATATTATTATCAAATAAACTACAAATATGTGTCCAACCTCCCTTGAACGACCTTTGTAGTCTCTCACCGGAGGTGTGGTCTCTAGCCAGCAATGTAGAAGAGCCATAAAACGGTGTGGAAGGCTGCCGTCTCAACAGGGATTAGTGGCGGTGAGAAATTGGATCGCCCAGATTAAGACTTAATCTAACTCCCAGAATCCCCGTATAAAAAGAATTATTTAAATTTGAAATTCAAATCGGATAATATAATAATCATTATTCAATCTATAAATGGAGAAATAGAGTTTAAATTATGGGTATATAAACCTTTTTTTTTTTAACAATTTAGAAGATTTGTTCGTTTGGCATTTTATAATATTGTGCAACATTAAGCCTTAATTGTAATCTAATATTATTTTTTGTAAAATATTATAAATTATGTTTTCACATTGTATCTTAGGATAGAATTAGAGGGATGCATGGGGTTGGTGACATAAGCTTGATTGAACCTTCTATGTATCTTCATTTTGTAAGCAAAATAAATGTGCGCTAACATTATATAATTAACAAATACCAATTATCATATAAAAACGATATCAAATAAAGCACATACCATGTGTGAAGTGAAATCTTTAATGCCTTCGGTGTTTATAATTATATTTATTCATTTAAGAAGCAATGTTTCTTTCACATTTAAATCAAACTTCTACTGTTCTGAGATTCCACCCTTCAGTGTAGCATATATAAGCAGAATAATCCAATACAGTATCAAAGCTCTGAAAAAGCGGTCTGATGGATTAAATTGGTGAAACCGCTGGGAAGGTTCACCACTGATGAGTCAAGCCATCCCATTATTTTTTCATCGAAGTAAGGACAGTAGAAGTTTTATTTATATTTGAAAGAAATACGCCTATTAATGTTTTTTTATTTCCTATATATAGATGGGGCGTTATTTCTTTATATTAAAATGTATTTCTTAATTATATATTTTGCTTCAATTATTTTCAGAGAAAGTCCAGGTTTGTTTATTTATTTATTTATTGTTACAAAAGCACGAAGTCCAAAGGACTATTGTGCTGTGCTAGTATTATTTATATATATATGATTAATTATTTACACGATGGATTAGTATTGTTTTGTAAATTATTGTACAAATAGTTCTAAACTTAACAAAGTTCTCATAAGATAGAGTATATACACAAAGAGAATTTGGTAATGTTTCAAAGTATCTACATACAATTTGATTAGTCAGAGGGCAAGATAAAAGAAGATGCTCTGGTGATTCAACATCTAAGCGGCATTCACATGTTGGATCATTGATAGCATTCAGTTTGAATAGGAAACTTAAGAAGGGTCCTTTGCCAGTTAAGAATAATGTAGTGAATTTATCAGAGGAAATGAAATTTGGGACAGCAATTGGAAAGAATTTCTTGAACAGTTCATTAGATTGAGAAAGATAAAACTTAAATTTTAGATCCAGATATAGTTTGTTTAATTCTTTTTGAAGGGGTTTTTTGAGTGTTCGATCTGTGAGAGAATTTGTCATATTATACTTTGTTTGTAATAATTCAAGATAATCGGACAGTAAAGGGGTTTTCGCTAGTATATGTGTGATGTAAGAAGATGAAGTCCTATAAGCATGAATGCATCTAATAAGAATTTGATATTGTATAGAATTCAACTTGGATCTTTTTGCTGCAGTGATAAAAGGAAACCAAATATTTGATGCATAGCTTATTGTAGAGCGTATCATAGCTTTATATAAGATCAATCTACGTCGAGTATCAATGCCCCAAGTACGTGCACATAATGAGAATAATATATTCTTAAGTTTCGTTGCTTTCATAATTATATTGTCAACATGTGTTCCAAAATTAATCTTATTCCTTTGTCTATGATTTTTAAAAATAACTCCCAAAATTTTAACAGTTTCTGATGGTTGAATTATTTTTCCATCAAAATTAATGGGCAATTTTTCATAGTTATGTAGATAGAGTATACCTGTTTTGTTTGGACTTAGTGAAAGTTTTACCTTTTCACACCATGCTTTGATTTTTATTAAACATTTGGTAATATTATACTGAAGATCATAGATGTTTGAACTCCATACCACAAATGTCACATCGTCCGCGAAAGCAATCACTCTAGCAAAACTTTCGTTAAAAGATAAGTTGAAATCATTAAGTAATATATTCCAAAGAGGAGAAATAATACCACCCTGGGGACATCCCTTATTTATCTTTTTTATACACTTTACATTAGTATATTTAAACTCTACACTCCGGTCTTCAAAGTAAGAATTAATTATTTTTATAAGTACCGCTGGAAAATTTGCCTTGTCCAATTGTTGGAGAATTGCCGGATGCCATGCGTTGTCGAAAGCTCCGCTGATGTCCACTGTTACTATTGCCGTATTTTCTGTTTCTCTTTTCAAAAGACTTAATTTAGTTATTTCTTGTAAAGCAGAGATTGTTGATTTTTCTTGTGTAAATCCATGTTGAGCAGGATGCATAACATTATTACTATTAATATGATTTAAAAGTTCAATATGAATTAGACTTTCAAAAATTTTACCTAAATTAGAAGACAAGCTTATAGGGCGGTAGGCTTTCGGATCTTTATAATTTTCTTTATTAGGTTTTTTTTATAATCATTACTGCTGACTTTCTCCAGGCCTCCGGATAATAATTAAGTCCCATACAAGCATTGAACAATTTTGTTAACACAGGAGATATATGATGAACTGCCGTTTTGATCATCTGATTGCTTATATGATCTATTCCTGGAGCCTTGCCATTTTTAAGTTTTTTAATTATTGAACAGATTTGAATATTATCAAAATAAATGATTTTATCATTAGAAAAAGTATAACTCTTGTCTCTGATTAATTTATGATAGTTTGTGTCAGAAGATTGACAGTCATTCGGAAATAGAGAAGATAAAAGATTTTTCATTTCTGATTCGAGCACATCTTGAGATACATCTAGAATTGGTAAATCAAAAGACCTAGGAGAAATTTTTTGTTTAAAAGTTTTGTAAGTATTACCAAAAGGAGATGAGGTTTGTGATCGAAGTAAGTTGTTCTGAAGCGCCATCAAAATGGCGCGAACCCATTTCCACTTAAAGATTAGAATAAACCTATTCAACCCAATATTAAATGTGTAATAATAAAACGACTGAAAATAAGTTTATTTTTGATAATTTCATCAAATGGTATCTCTATATACAGGCCTTACTACAATTATAAAGGTTTTTGAATGAGAGAGCTTGGCTCATCAATGGTGAACCCTCTCAGCGGTTTGCCAAAATCAATCTCCAGACCAATCTACTATTGTATTGTATTGGTTTTGTTATACACCCTCTATTTTCTATGGATAGAGATATTATTTTATGGTATTATTAAAAAGAAACATAATACCTGTAAATATTATTGTTACAATTTTTATCTATAAATGGCATTTGAATTTATAAACAATATTAAATGGTTCAGGTGATAAACATTTTCATATCATACTAGAGAGCGTATTTACATAACTCGCTGGGCTAATATGTTTCAATATACCTTGTGTCATCCAAAGAGGTGGGAAAGATTCCACGTTAGTCGGCTGCAGCAGGAGATTTTGTTGATATTAGTCAATTCTAAACTATAAATATATATAACACTACAATGTGGTAGCTGGGTCTAACGATATCAGCTAACTATTATAGACTAGTGTTATATATATAACACTGCTATGTAGTATAGAAACTACAGATTGCCACGTTGAATACATCGCTTCTCGTACGATCACCGAAGTTAAGAAACATTGAGCCCGGTCAGTACTTGGGAGGGTGACCACCTGAAAACACCACCGCATATTTTCAAAGGAAATCAAGGACATCTCCAAGGAATGGACTAACCAAGGCGTTTTGACACCAAGTTTAGATCGACCAGCTTGGAGAAGCTAGATTGAAGGGAGAGACACACCAGTTTAGGGACCTATTCACTTGATAAGTTGCTTTTACTCTCATCCTAGTTTTAAAATGTTTAACTCATACTTTTATATTTAAATATGGCTATAACAATTGAAAGATCTAAATATTATTATGTAGAGAGAGTGATTATAAGTTTGGTTGTCTCCTCTAGATCTTTATTAACAAATGCTAATCGTTATGGTATTATTGATATTTAATAGAACTCTGGAGTTAGATATTATAATACATATTTAGGTTTGTTTGTAAGGATCTAGGCCAGATGACCAGCCTATATTCACAAATGATTTAGATCTTCAAATTATTATATATTCCTCTTTCAATAATATTGATTATTAGGCAGTATATTATGTTATTTTATGTGGGGTGCATTATCTTTATGTAGTTGAAGCATTATAATTAAAAGTGTCAAATGCTGGGATTTGATAAAAATATATTTTGTAGTGTACACACAGAAAATATTGGTGAATAGACTTCTACACAATCTATCCAGTAACGCAATACACCAAACTGTAGTACAAAGTTGATATATTGCTCTACACAACGTGCTGTGGAGGATTCCAGAAATGTGTAGAGAATATAGCAACGGAATCCTGACTTTATTCAAATAATGATTCAATTTAGCTCCAAGTTTTAAAGAACAGTTTCTCTCTACCTCTATAAAAGTTTAAGCTAGAAATATCCCTGCGTATATCATTGAGACACTACAAACGTGATTGAAAATATCGATGAATTCTGAAATATATATTTTAACTATAATAATATTCACTCGTGCAGTTGTATCTTTTACCTTTTACACCTGAAGAAAATCTTTCTTGTGTGTGTGTGTGGAATACCAATTCAACTGTACTATCAACAAACAAATCATATGATTAACTAAATATTATGTATCTACTTTAAAATATTATGACGCAACGCTAGCCATTTTTGCATACTTATATTTTAATTAAAAACAAAGTATTTATACAGTAAATGATGATGATAAATAATCTCTATGAATATTAATGCATAACTTCTCCCCACAACAAAAATTTATATTTCAAAAAACTTCGAAGGCCTTCTTAATCTTGAGGACCTTCTCAAAATAGGACTCGACGCTTCACCAGTAGGATCTATTTCCTGACCAGCTTGGGGGTCTTCAATATAAGTTGGCTCTTGTGGAGTTGACGATGTAGACGGAGTTGCTTCACTTTCTCCACAACCTCTGACTTGATCTAAATGCCGGTTTAAAATTTCCCCGTCATCTGTCTCTACCTTAATAGAGACAGGACCAGTTTTTTCTTGCACTACACCTGGTAGCCATCTGGGGCCATGGTACCCTCGTGCTATAACTGCCTGTCCTTCATTTACTACTCTATGGGGTTTCCAATTTCTTATAAACCTGTCTTCCTGTCGCATCCTTCCCTCCGACACACTTTCAGGATGAAATTTATTTAAGACACTCTTAAGGTTTCTGTTCATCAACAACTGGGCTGGGGATTTTTTCGTCGTGCTGTTTATAGCTATTCTCATGGATAACAAAGATCTAGATAACCTAGTCGTCCAATTTCCTGAACTGTTCTTTATTAGCAGATTTTTAAGCGTCTGAATAGCTCTCTCCACCTGCCCATTTGACGCTGCATGATAAGGCGCACACAAGATGTGCCTTACGCCATTTCTTTTTAAGAAAGTCTTGAAAAGTTCCGATGTGAAGGACGTACCATTATCTGAAACTATCACATCCGGCAACCCGTGAGTCGCGAATATTTCTTTTAGACTATTGATGGTAGTTTCAGTAGATGTTGTAGACACGATTTTAGCCTCAATCCACTTAGAAAAGGCATCTACTACAACCAGAAAAAGTTTTCCTTGAAAGGGACCCGCATGATCAATATGTAGTCTCGACCAAGGTCTTGATGGCCAAATCCAAGGATATACGTCAGTTCTTGGCGGATCGTGACTACACGACAAACAAACCGTACAACTGGATATCATCCGTTCAATCTCCTTATCCATCCCGGGCCACCAGCATAATCCTCGAGCTAGCGCTTTTGTCCCCACTATGCCAATATGAGTATCATGTAACAGATTTAAAATATCTTTTCTTAATCTTTCAGGTATAATCACCCTGCTCCCCCACAAAAAAAAATTTTATGAATTGATATTTCATTAGATTTGGAGACAAAATCTTTAAATTTATCATCAACTCTCCTTTCAGGCCACCCATTCATTGCCCAGAATTTAATCTTAGAAAGGATTGGAACTTTGCTAGTTAGTTTTGCCACCTCTGAAGAATTAATTGCAGCATGCCCGATTCTATAAAAAAAACACCTCTGAAGGGTTCGGAACTACACTTGGACATTCATTTAAAGGCAGTCTACTTAAGGCATCGGCATTAAAATTTACTTTTCCCGGTTTATACTCTATAGTATAAGTATACGCAGCCAGAGTCAAACACCATCTCAACATGCGCGGTGATAGCACTTGAGGTATCGGCTTTTTTGGGTTGAATATTCCAACTAGGGGCTTATGATCAGTTAATATTTCAAATTTTCTCCCTAGAAGATACTATGAAAATTTTGATACACCAAAAATAACCGCTAATGCCTCTTTATCAATTACTGCATATCTTCTCTCAGTTTTATTTAAAGTTCGGGAGGCAAACACAACTGGTCTTTCAACTCCATGATCTACTTGGGACAATATGGCTCCAACACCATACTCCGACGCATCACAGTTGACCAAAATAGGCAGATCTTCATTAAAATGTGCTAAAACAGACTTAGAGCTAATCAAGTTTTTAACCTCTGCAAAAGATCTTTGATGTTCTTTATTCCATTTCCATGGACTATTACTGTCCAACAGTCTATGGAGAGGTTCAGCTACTGTGGCTTTATTATTCAAAAACCTCTCATAAAAATTAAGAAGTCCAAGAAAATACATCAATTCCCTTTTATTTGAAGGTGGTTTAGCATCTTTTATAGCTCTAATTTCTCCTCGGATGAACGTATTCCTTTATGATCAATAATCATTCCTAGAAATTCAATTTCTGGAACATAAAAATGGCATTTTTCTTTTTTAAGACGAAGTCCAGATTCTCTGAAGCGTAGCAGTACCTTTTCAGTTTTTCTTTTAAGATAATCACAATCTCTTCCTGAAATCAGGACATCATCTAAATATACTGCAACTCCATCAATTCCACTCAGAAGAGTATCCATGAATCTCTGGAATGTTCCCACGGCTGAATTTAAGCCAAAAGGAAGACGCTTCACCTTATATAATCCTCTAGGTGTATTAATAGCGAGAATATCTGCAGATGTTTCATCCACTTTCAACTGCTGATATGCTTGAGCCATATCCAACTTAGTAAACACTCTGTCACCTCTCAATCTATCCAAAAGTTGCGGAATTGTGGGCAGTGGGTATTTATCAGGATTACTATACAAATTTACTGTAATTTTATAATCATGGCATATTCTTATAGTGCCGTCATTCTTTAGGACCTCACAATTGGTGATGCCCATTTGGTAAATTTAACCGGTTCAATAACCCCTTGCTCTTACAGTGATTTTAATTTTTCATCTACTAGTTCTCTCAGAGCAAATGGCACGGTTCTGGCCTTTACAAATTTGGGTTCTGCATTCTCAGGAATGTCAATATGGATCAAAGGTCCATTATAGGCATCAATTTCTTGTTTAAATACTTCTTCAAATTCAGAAGAAAAAGGATTTGTTTCGATATGATTCAAAATATTTATCTTCAGGCGAAACGCTTCAAACCACTGCCTTTCCAGAATGTTAGGACCCAGACCATCAGCCACTAAGATTGATAATTTTTTAAAACCATTTGTTACTTTTGCTTTAACAAAAAGCCTTCCCAAAATCTTGACGTGACTTGACGACCATGTCTTTAACAGCACCTCAGATCTCTCAAGTTGGGTTACTCTCCAATACTTTAAAAATGTTTCTTTTTTTAGTAATGAGTATGCACCTCTTGAATCTATAAGCATTGCTACGTCATGATTATCTAATTTTGCCATTATGTAAAAAGGATTACTTAAACTTTCAGTTCCAAGACAGTGTAGGTATGTATCACTATTACTTCTATTCAAATTTCTTTACTCTAGTCAGGCATGCCTTCTGCAGATGACCAATTTTTCCACACTTGAAGCATTTTAAATTTCTGAATTTGCATATATGAGGCAAATGATTTCCTTTACATCGTATACAAATAATTTTCTTATTTAATCCTTTCGCAATTCTATTGAATTCAGCTTGCTTCGATTTAAAATTAAATGGTTCACCCTTATTAGCTTTCTTTAATATATTTACATCAGGAGTCGTCTCCATCAAAACACTAGCATTTGCACTTGCCGACTCATCACATAGTGCTATATTTATGGCTTTTTCAAAAGTCAAAGTTGCCTCAGATAATAATCTCTTCACAAGCGACTCTTTTCTTAATCCACACACCAATCTGTCTCTCAAACGATCATCCAGATCAACAAACTCACAGTTCTCACTCAATCTTCTTAATTCTGCTATATAGGAAGCAATCGATTCATTACCTTGATTATGTTTGTTAAAATGGTATCGCTGGACTATAACATTGGGTTTAGGGCAAAAATGTCCAGTCAGTATATTAAGTATCTCTTCATAATCTACGTGAGCTAAATCTTTTGGCGCGGCCAATGACCTTGCCAATGCATAAGTTTCAGGGCCTATTAAAGTAAGAAAAATAACCTTTTTCTGCGTGATCTTTTCAATTCCATTTGCAAAGAAGATCATTCTCTCCACGTATGTTGTCCACTTCTCTGGCTTAGAAGGATCAAAATTTTCAATATTTCCGAAACTTGCCATCTTTTAAAAATCAAAGTTTAGTTTAAAAATTAGTTTTAAAAAATTAGCTCAA